GAAAGTTTTGAATCTGTGAAGCGCTTAACTGCACTCTCATTAGACCAGAATCCTTGGAACTGTACATGTGAACTGCAGATTTTTCGTGACTTTGTTTTAAAACGTAATCTCTACACACCACCAACGGCATGTTATTTTCCCGTGCACTTACGTGGCATGTTGTGGGTGGAGGATCAACCGGAAGCGTTTGCCTGTAAACCCAAAATCATATATCCAGCACGCGGTGCTTCCATCAATACGTCAAAAGAAAATGTTACATTGGTTTGCCGAGTGCATGCTTCACCTAACACACACATATCCTGGGATTATAACAAACAAATGTATCGCTCCAATGCAGTGAACAGTGCACAACAACAACGCGTACACATCCAACTGCTACGCGATGAACAGTCCAAAGAGAAGGAGTTCGGACGTGATGTGTTTATTTCACGTTTAACTATTATTGGAGCCGATAAAAACGACGAGGGTATCTACACATGTTTAGCAGAGAACGCTGGTGGCAAAGATGTAGTGCAAATGAATTTGCTGATACAAAAGCCAGGGTCAAAGGACTTGTTATTGCAGGGAAACTTAGTTATTGTGATTTGCTTAATGGCTTTGGGATTGCTTAGTGTGTCGGTGCTGCTCGCATTGATTACTTGTTGCATTTACAAGCGTTTCAAGCATATTAACTCCGCGCATCGACATCATCATCATCATCATTTGGATGTTGCCGATCAATTAACAACTGGCCTCGAACATACCACCACGACTGTAACGGGCGGCACTGATGTTGTGCTTGGAGTGAGTGTAGATGAGACATCAACGGGTAATTTCAAGCACCATTTGCAAAAAACAAATCTGAATGGTGGCACTGGCGGAATGGACAAATACAGTGAAATGATTAAGCATGGTGTTTCTGTGATGGACAATGGTTTTGTTAATGTTGGTGCTGATGGCGTTGAGCACCATAAACTGCTGCTGAACGATGCGAAAACAGGGCATGCGGAAAAGGCGTATTTGGAGCGAAGTACTAAAGGTGAGTTTTTATGTTACTAAATAAAATTACATTTTTACTTTCTTTTTTTATTGTGTGGATAGATGTTGGTTACTTTTCATTTCATCATTGCTCCATTTCATATGGCAATTGTTCCACATAGTCTTTGTTTTTAATTTTGTTGCTTTTATTATTGTGGTTTGTTTTGCTTATTTTCTGGTTTATAACTTGACCATGTGCCTCACAAGCACCACTCCGACCATTTTCATTCTGGAGTGATAAATATGGTAATTAATTCTCGTTGCAAATGGCGAAATAAAAATGATTTTGTTGCTTTTTTCCACTTGGTTATTTGTAACAAGAGTGACATAAAAAAGGAACACAAGCTTAGTCACAATTTATCACCAGCGTAATTATTTCATTAATCACTGATGCTATGCTGGATCCCCAGAAATTAGCAAGAATATTGAGCTTTGTAGAAATTTCTACTGCTCAACAAATATTTGTGTTTCATTCTTGGAAAACTAGAGATTTACATAGGAATAAATTCTTTTGCTTTTCATTTATACATAAAAGAATGTTTTTAAGTTTAATTGTGCCATATCACTTTTAAGCAAATATCTAGATTTTGTTTAGGACTTTTATACATCAAACTTCGTACTCTATTTGGGTTGTAGCATATTCCGTTTGTATAAAATAATACACTTTAAAAAGTTAAATTTATTGTAATTTTTCTATTCTGAGATAGAAAATTTAGAGAATATTTCATTACATTTTAATAAAATTAATTTATTATGGTATTGAAATATTATCCATATACATATATATCAGTTGACAATAAACTGAATAAAAATTTACTGATGACCCTCTGGTAATTATTATATATTATTGGAGCAAATAAGGAGTATTTATCCTTTCCTAATTAAATAGCTAAATGTATCAGTATCAAATGTGGAATGCTCACCTTTTCTTGAGCAAATGACTAAATGGATGAGAAGCCAAAAATAAAGACAGTTTACTCTTTCTTGAGGAAATGGCTAAATTTATCAGAAGCAAATATGGAGTGCTTATCTCTTCTTATTTTATCTGCAGTGAGGTTCAAGAGATGCATTAATCCTTTTTATACTAACTCAGCCAGATCACTTAAGAAACAGTCTCTTAGATATTTATCCCGCTTTGTTTGTAGTGACGGGCAAAAAAATTAAAAGTTATTATTACATTATATTACCTCTTTATTAACCTCTTACACAGTTCACTTACTAAAGTGGGACAACTTTGAAGAATTGATAGATTCTACTTTCTCTCCATCATGGTTATCGTTGCAAAGTCTGCGTGTTAAAATGCGCTAAATTTGAATAATTTATAAATTCTACTTGTGGAAACTCGCCAAACTTAATTTCTATACAGAACGTTTGTTGAGGGGCTTTAACTATGCACTATTGGTGCAATACCATGGTTGACGTACGCACACAAATTAGAAAGTATGCTTTGTTTTTCTTTTATTTAATCTGAACCATAGCAACCTTACGGTCGAGTCTATTATCACCCTTACTGATCCTGAAGTCTAGTTTGTTGGTTTATTTTAGTGAAGGCAGAGCTTCCACTTCTATCCCAGTAGCACAAAAACAAAATTTGTTGCAACAAATTCGGCTTCTAGATCTACTTTAACTTAACATACTATTATCTATTGTTTGATATATGTTAAGTCAAAAATGAATTTCCTGCTTTATAATATATGGGGAAATTCAAGTTCATTCAAATTTATTTATTCAAAAAATTGTCTTGCAAATTTTACATACTCCTGTCTTCTCTGTAGTTTATAAAACATTATTAGAAGTAAAATTTTTTTTTATTTTGTACTATACAAGTGGTCACACTGTAGTTAAATGAAGATAATGAATGTAATAGAGCGAACTTTCATAAGAGTTCAACGGAAGTTATTTCACCTTTTCTCAGTTGTATTACATTTGAAACTAAACTTAATTTGTACTAAAATTACTAAGAATACAGTAATCGTCTTCTCACCTAAGGAAACTTCAATTCCTTTCTACATTAAAAATTCCTTTAGTTGAAGTCGATTAGTTATGCAAGTTTATTCTCTTAGCATACTTTCACGTACCTATATATACTGTTATCTCATTTAGTTAAACTGAAATTCCAGTCGAAGTGAATAATTGAAAATTAGAATAAATAATTTCGACGAAATGTTGATTACCCACATTTTCAGGCGCCGTAAGATATTACAACTACAAAACATTAGAGGCAATTTCGTACAGATTTTGCAAATTTTGCTATCATAAATTCACATGCATATTTCAGAGATTCGCTCGTACACATTTTATTAGAGCCTGCAAGTAACTTCAAGATACACGATAACAATGAAAATATTCTATGTACTGAATATATGGGAGTGCAAAGTATCTCAACTCCCCCACGTTTTGTTTTTTTCTGTAGATAAATCAAAAATTTAATGAGCTATAAAAATAGCAATTTCAACAACAAAAACGAAAGCCATGGAAAGTGCATATCATATAAACAAAGCTGAAGTACAAGAGATATGGGAGTACCAGTCATATACCAGCCGTACGTAAATAGCGAACCTATGGATTTTTGATTTTACATATAGAAGAATTGTTGAATTATTTTTACAACGTGGTTAATATATGAGTATGCGCTGAGGATTGCTAGGTTTTTCTATTTTATATATGAAAAATGAAAATACACAACCGAAGAGCAAGTAAATAAAAATTATTGTAAAGCCAATTTTTGTGCAAATGTACTCAATAAATTATGCAAAAATATGGCAACGCTGACTTTTTAGCCAGAAACAAAGGCAGGCCGCTGTTCTACATTGTATGAGTGTAAAGCATCGGAGATAAAAATTTTATAAGCCAACAAAATGTTATTGCCAAAATGAAGTCAGCCAAAATTAGGCTTTCATGTTTCGATGTAGCAAATTTTGTTTCGCAGAAATAAAAAATATAAAAGCGAATTCAATGCATGCATTTCGAATGAAATTTACAATGAATTTAAAATGCCTTAAATGAAATTCCTTGCTCTCTACAAGTACTTTGAAGTATCAATTATGGGCTAGCAAAAAGTCAATTATTACTTTGGATTAATGATTGTGTAGTACTGAGTGGCAGGATGTGGCAGCCACATTATGGTTGCTATGCAAATATTTAAGTATATAAATAATTTATTATTTATCAGTCGAAAAGAATTTTGGTAATATAAATGATTGTAGAAAATGGCATAAATTTAATTTTCAATGAGAATTTATTATGTGCTTTTGAAGAGCTCTTAAAATATGAGCATTAAATTTAAAGGAATAAAATAATTTTAATATAAAACTCATTTTATCATAATAAATAGTTATTAAGTCTAATTGAAATATTTACACAAATAATAAAGGAATTTAAGCTCAATAAATTATTTTCATTTGTTATTTTGTAATAAATATATAGTAAGTTAATGAAAAGTTATTATTTATAAATAATTAAAATACTTTTAATAGAGTAAAACTTATTTAATAGCAAGCAATATTTATTGAGACCTATTTAGGAGGGGATTTTTTAAAAAGAGTATAAAAGTCTAAATTTTTATCTATTGTTTTGTTAAGTGGTTTTAAAGTAATGAATAAAAAAGTCATAAGAAGAAAATTAATTAAGAGAAAACTATTATATTTAGCATGAAATAGACCTGCGGTAAAGGGAATTCCTGAGATAAGGCATGCTTGACGTAAGATGCGACTTTACTCCAGCTGCGACTTTACTTAGATAGAGTCAGTATCAGATACTGATCAGTAAGATCAAAATATTTGTTATTAAAAAAAAAATTGAAGAAACAGAATAAGTTAAAATATTTGTATATTGGATTCTTAAGAAACAGAAAAAATCGTATAGTATGTGAAACACACCGTTCATATGACACGTTGCAATACCCACTGATGTTTTGGCAAGAAGATGATGGATATCACTTCAATATAAAAATGATAAACCCATTGAAAGGTGGGTATCAACATCATAGTTTTCAATTCAAAATACAGACGTGAGTCTTACTTCTAAGATACTAATTTTACTATTTTTAAATCAGGTGAGGAAACTGCCAAGAAAATTAGTTCGTGTAATCCAAAATGGAAAGAGATTGTTCAAATGTTGCTTCCTGGACAGACATCAAGTGATCGGCACGATATCACTGCACGGGTATTAAGCACAAAAATCGATCGCTGATGAATCTAAAATTTAATATAACATTCATTGACTGTTACGCGGTACGAAGTTCGCGGGGTCACCTAGTTTGAAATAGAATAATGTGAGATAATTTAATAATAAAGAATTTACTGGACTTACAACAGGTACCAAAAACTTATAACTAAAAACGATGTTACCCCGCTTTACTACTGATTCCAGTGTGGGTCTTTAACCGCAAGACTATCCTTCATTAAACGTGTATTAATTCTTTATATAAAATAACTGAAAATGATTCATCATATATCAACGATTCAGGGGGTCACTTAATAAATAACCACTTCGTTGATTTCTTAATTATTTTTTGATATACAAGTATATCTTAATATAATGAAAATTCCTATCTATATTTTATACGTATTGTAAAATTTGCTTAATTGACAATTAAGGAAACTAATGAACCTGTAACTGAAGCAATAAAATTTTAATGACAAGTAATAATGACACCTATTGAATGACTAGAAATATTATTAGTGATTGAATGTTTTATTATTCATGAATAGATTAATTTTTTGATAATTGAAAGTATTGAGTGCTTTTATGACAAACAAGAGTTTAAATGAAAATATATCTGAGGCCAAACGTGATAAACCAATTTAATATTCAAAAAACAATAATTCTCCTTAACTCTAGAGCTTTTATGAGTTAGGATAATATCGAGAATAAGTAATTAATTCAATTGCAGCAAGTAGAAGTAAAAAAGGACTCTATATTTTAATGGGTTCGCCCGAGCATATAAGAAACAATGTGTATTGATTGGTTAATTTATGTTTCTTTTTGACAGCAATATTCCTGACAATGCAATGTTCCTGACAGTATAGGCAATCCTAGCTCTAAACTTATTATACGAATAATTTAATCAACAAATACTTCCAAAGATCAATAGAAGTCTAAAATTGCAGTTTGGAAGATCAAAAATTCTGATAATTAAAAATAAATTCTTTTAGTTTCAAAATATTTTCACCACGTATATCTTCTCTCTCATTTATACAGCATTTAAATATTATTTTAGTAAGTACAAGTCCACATTGGATATGCTTTCTTGAAGTAACATTTTCACTAGATTAAACGGAGATCCATTAGCTACCAACACACGTTGTAATATACATTGAGGTTCACAAAAAGCTGCGAATTAAATAATCGAAAATTTTGCGAATGTTGACAGGCCTACCGTAGTTCTATAAAATGTAAAACCATCATAGAGATTTGGTGAACACATATTTTTTCTGTTGAGTTTTTTGTTTTTTAAGAGATATTTACTCTAATTCAGAGCTTGAGTATAGATTGCCTCATTTGTTTCGATATCGTTTTTTTTCCAAATCACCACTTGGTCTAATATTAGATTCAGGTATGTTATTTGATCACTTCAATAAAAATCCTTCAGTTTTATGGGTTTGAATTACATATTAAGAGGTTGTTCTTTTTGTGGAGGAACTTTTTACTTATTATATGCAAAGCACCTTTCTCGGGTGCAATTTTACAAATTATACACAGACTATAAACTTATTAAAAATTTCATATATTTCCTAAGATTACTGATGATGAATACTTGCAAACACTCGATACAGCGTTGTATGACCAGCCAAATTTCAATAAATTAACAAAATTTTTTGTTGTTGTATTTTCATTACTGTCTAATAGTTTTCTTTTGTCATAACACATACGACAAAAAGAAATTAACGTTACTTATTATTAGTTTTTATCAAAAAGATATATAAAATTTAGTAAAACAAATATTTCAAAAAGTTATAAAAAACTGAAGCTCTGAATACTGAATACTGTATCCCAGTATTTGAGATGATTCGATTGCAGTAAATTGACTACAATCTCTCTGCATCATAAAATCTATTGAATTATTTGTCCAGTAATATCTCAAATATCTGAATTTTATATTTTTCTTTCACTAAAAATTATGTTAATAATAATGTTTATCTCTTAGTAATTAGTAATAATCTCGAGATTTTAAATATACAAAAATTATTAAAATTCCATAAATTAATATATTTAGGATTAAAATATCTAAATAAATTAAATATTTAAAATGAAAACAATTGCTCAAAGCTGTTAAAATTCCAGAAATTAATAATCTTAAAATACTAATAGTACTTGTATTTCATTTCTAATTAAATGGAAATTTTTAAAATTCTTAAAATTTCATAAATTAATAGATTGAACATTAAATTATCCAATTAAATTAAACATTTAAAATTTGAACAATTTCCCAAAATTGTTAAAATTGCAGAAATTAATAATCTTAATATAAAAATATTTATTATTATTAATACTAATACTACTTGCTTATACATTTAATTTATTTTCTAATCAATGTATGCTATTATAACACATTATTTTCACATTATTTCAGAAACACTTCACATAAAATATCCGCATGGATACGTGCAGACCGAAATAATACGAAATACTTTAAGCAGCAGCACTGGGAGCAACAAACTAAGCAATAAAAGGCAAACACAAGATGCAAGTAAAGATTTTGTCGGACGGACTGTTGAATACCAACCGGATCTGCTACCAGCACATAGCACCAAAGTTATTAGTAGTCAAGAAGGACAGCTTTATAGTCCAATAAAGTCAACGACAACAATAAATCTACATGAGAATGAACATCAATTGCAGCAACAACAACATCATCATCAACAACAACAGCAACATCAACAGCAACAACAATTACAAGAAACCATTGTGACGACAAGCAACGCGCCAAAAAGTAAATACAATAGCAACGCTCAGGCATACCTGCAATCAAAATATAGCACGATAGCAAATACCAATAAACTGAGTGAAAAGTTAACCAAGCGCGAAATTCCAGGCATACCACTAATGACATCAGCTTCACTAACAGCAGCTGGATATGCAAATACAACGACAGCAGCGGCGCAAGAAAGCGGTTTCACCACACGTCACAGCAAATCACTGGCGTTGCCCGGACGCACCACTTCCACACCCACCGAAAATAGTTACGAATATAGGCAACCACCACCTCCGCCATATAGTGCAGCACATCGTGCAGCCGGCAGTCTGCTACTACAGCGACACACCAACTCCAACGATGACAAGGAGAATTGCATCACAAAAGATCAAGGCTATCAGGATTGTAAAGCTAATGATGTCGGAAATGTTGGCACAACAACAGCAACAACAGTAACGGCTACGAGACAGGCAATTGTGACCGCATCACCATCTTTGAATTTCCTCACTACAACCGGCTATACACCACGTCGACAATTGCTGTGATAGCAGTGACATGAAGTGGCATCAAACGAAGTGACGGACGATAGTGAGAGTGAGGAGCTGTTGCAACTACTACAATTGGAATATTAGCCTAGTTTGAATAATGCGGCTAATACAAGTATAATTTAGTGCGTGTACTTCAACTGAAGATATTACATTATTGCCAGAATTGATTTCCCAGTAGCAATATAAGTGCGCCAATGGACGAGTAACTGTGAATTACATATCTGTGTGAAGCAATGCATTGAAGTTATGGTAATTTGTTGAGCATAATAAAGCAACTTGTCGATTACTAACGCCATTTAAGTCTGTACTATGGTAATAAGTAAAATTGAGGTCAGATATTTTGTAGTACTCCTATATATATAGTATATATCTACAATTGAAAAAGTTGTATGCCAAATTGTTTCCGAATGCATGATAAGACATGCTGATGTTGCAATTTCATGCATTTGAACATAATTCATATTTGCAATAAATGCCAATAATAATTTATACTTGTATATAAATATCCTTGAGAAAATGAGCAATTGCAATTTACAGCATACACATATGATATGTTGCTTGTTCTATTTAATAAATAACAAATACTGAAGTTAGATGCATACGTGTAACTTACCTATGTATCTGGGATAACGAATGCATTGAAGTTGAAACTAAAATTAGTTGATTGCGTTGGTAAGTAACCACGTACATGTATAAATGTCATAAGATATAATCTTAAAGAGGTGTAAACTGAATAGTTGAATGTGATCAGAATGTAAGTGTAGCGCATATATTTGTAATATTCCTTAAAGTCTATAGGCAATAAGTTAAAAAACAACTAAAAATATTTTGGTGTGTATTTTTAGCTATGCGGTACTTTTAAATATCATATTTATTTATTTTTACTTTATAAAGTTTATATCTGTTTTTTTTTGTGAACTTCACAGTTGGTTTAAGTTCGAGTATTGTTGAAGTGTAATTTAAAAGTGTTTTTAATGCTTAAAAAGATACAATTTCAACTTAAATACCAAAGCATCACGTGGAGAAAAAAATAGTCCTTAGTCCTTCGTAGTTATTGTGTTACACCCCTGGGCTGAATTTGCTTACTGTTAAGTACAAATAATGTACTGAGTTGAAAAAAAAGCAGCACAGGATAAAAGTGTCCAAAAAAAAAAGATTCAATTTCATTACTGCCCACTTTAGACTTTAAATTTATGTACGAGTATTTAAAATAGCAGGTCTGCTATAGTATTTTGTGACGCATATTTATGTTGCTTTCGAAAAGTTTAAATAACTACGTAAGTGGGTAAAAGCTACTGTAGACACATTTTGTTGTTGTTTTTTTTTTTTTTTTGTAGTTTGTATTTATTTAAATTTCGACTGTCATTCAAGACAGTACAAATATTTATTGCGCCCAACAATAGGACCTCCCTGAGCAGACATAGCATCAGTGCTTAAGGCTATGCGACATACAAAACTCAGCGCAAGTGTGCGAAGCGCCTGTTTATAAATTCTTTCAAAATATATGTACACACAGGCTAAACACACTCTACTCTACTCTGCTCTACTCTACTCTGCTCTACTCTACTCTACTCTTATAAAAAAGGAACGAAATAACATTATGTCATTTATTGTCCTTAAGTCGAAAGTTTAAAAGTGAATTTTTTATTCAATTGAGTGTAATATTAAAGGAAATTCATTGTGCTCACTTTTTTAACTTTGTCAGCGCATTACTAATTTACTGAGATTCTTTTTGACATTTTGGCACTTTACGAAAGCCAAATAACAAAAAAAAAAAATAATTTTATTGAGTTCGAGAAGTGTTTATATATGTATATATAGAGTCATAGATTTGCTCTGGTAACGAAAATCATACACAACTCAAAATAAAAATAATAATGAGACATAGAAACTTTTTAAAATGCTGTTAAAAGATTTCGCTTTACGGGGCGTATGAGTGTTATTGTGTAAACTTTGTTAATTAAAAGTGAATTTATGAAACAAACTGTTTTTAATGTCACTGAATGAAATTGAGAGGCACTTATTTTGTTTTTTTTTTATTTTTTTGTTAAATTTCTATAACAATAACATTGTTTGTTTTAGAAGTCAATTGATATCAGCAAAATGTGTCGATGAGGCAGTTTTGTAGTCACAAGTATGTATTTTAATAATCAACAAAATATACACATAAACATGAGCTATTTATGTTGAATATATGTAGGCATGAATCCATTCTATTATGGTTTACCTATTTCGAGTTATAAAGGAGAGTCCTTTGTTTACTTTGAAATTATTTTATAAATCGTTTTTTGACTTACCTGTTTTTATTGTGCAATATTTTATGTTATGGAAAACGATTAGCGATAACGATAACATACTGACAGAATCTTCTTCTTCTTAGACTGCCTACTCATTTTGAGTGTCAGCGGTCGCATTTATTGACAATAAGTTCAGTCCCACGTAATTTTCAATTTAAATTTTCAATATTACAATTTTTCTTTAATAATGCTGACAGAATATTACAGTAATTCCAAATGAACATAAATAATAGTATAAAAGTACATTGGTGCACAATAGATCAAGCTGGTCGCAGTACATAAAGGCCTAAGCCTAACCCATAAATTATTACCATATAAGTAGATTAAATATGAGTTTGTTAATTCATTTCAGACATTGAGAAATTCCAAAATGACGATTGTTACAATTTTTGTTGTTAGTACTGTTCGGTACAATCATGTCAGACCGATTTCTTACCCAGTGTATTAACATCAGATGTTTTTTAAACAAACTTTTTAGTTTTGCGGTATCGCACAGATATCACAGTTATTTTTTGCAAATATATTTTGACTGAAACAGGCCCGTAATCAGCTGTCGTAATATATTTTACGAAGTGTTTTCAGATTATTTCTGGAGTTTGAAAAAGACTTTTTATCTCATTATCTCATTTTATCTCAACATACAATATTTATATAATGTAGTCTTTCGATTCATATCATGGAAGATTTCAATGTGTAAGGTCTCTGCTCGTAAGGTGCACGAGCACCTCGTCCTCTAAATGCACGAAGACTGGAATAGATCTTTTTGCACAAATCCGATTTATCTGCAATATCTCAATATGAATCTTTTCTGTTTCTGAAGCTACATTTATCATCCCAAACATTATGCTATGAAACTATAATGGCTATAAAAGAATTACACAGCAATAACTTTTGAGACGATTGAGATTATAAAAAACTTATAAATAGGGTTTCAAAATGAATGAGTTTTTGACGGAATCTTAATGCAACACTTTTTGGAATGACGTAGAATATAAAAGATGGTTGAACTTACAACTTAAAAACAACTTAGGGTAAGAAAGGAATTATATAGCAATGCGTCTTAATGTGGTTGGAGATTTAAAAGACGATTGAGTATATAAAAGAATTGCATAGCGATAGGGTTTGAAAGGATTCAGGTTATGAATGAACTATATAGTAATATATATTCAAAGGATTGTGGTTATGAAAGAAATACATAGCAATGCATTTTGGTACAATTTAAGATATAAAAGATGGTTAAGGATTTAAAGAAATAATACAGCAAAACGATTGATTGGTCACAAAATGATTGAGGTTAAAAAGGAATTAAATAGCAATGCATTTTGACAGGGTTGAAGATAGGTATAAAAGACTTGTGAATTTATAAGAGTTTGAATTAAGTTGAGGTTTGGGGCTTCAATTGAGTAAGGTTATAAATGAACTCTATAGCATTGAATTTTCAAATAATTGAGGTTATGAACTACATGTTTTGTTAGACTACATGTTTTGTTAGATTTAACTAATTAATCAAACATTATGAATTTTAATTAGTTTATGTATTTTATGTAATATTAACATTTGAGTTTTTAATAAACATATATTTTAAAAAAAGTTTAATACATTCTAAAATTATTTGAATTCTTATGATTCAAAATTTACAAATATATGCGTTATATCCAAACAAACTGTAACAAATGTATCTAATATATTATTGTATACACTAGAAAAAATTAATCAAACCATTTATAGTTATATATACATATATTGAATTTATTATTAAATTTTATGTATATAGTTTAGTAAATATTTTTCAGAAAATATAATTAATGTTATAAATAATATTTAAACTGAAAAAATAATTTATTAGCTATAAAAAATGAATACTTTGCTTAGTTTAATTTATTAGCAGGAATTTGTAAATTTAACAAAAGCATAGTTAATAATTTTAGTTCATAAATATTAGTTATTTTATAAATATTGAGAAAAATGAAACAATAAATGTTATCCTATATGTTATTGACTAGTAAACTAAATAATTATAAACATACATTACCTATATATACATATAAATACATATATATAGATATATATAATAGTATAAGCGTCCTATGATATTGATAGACTTTGTAAAATTTCAAAAAAATTAGATTTTAACAAATAAAAATATTATTATAAAAATCTAATATATAATTTTGCATATATTGGTTTCAAAAATGTTTTATTTTCTTTTTTAATAATTTTTTCATGTGTATTTATCTGTAAAAACAGGAAAAATATATAATTTTATGCATATTTGTGGCAATAAGTTTAAGTTTTTGTATATACCAATTGAAGTATATATTATATATGATGGAACTTTGTCTTGTTTTATATGTAAGTTTTCCTTACTCGAAGCGGATCTACATATATAATTTTTAGAGAAATATATAATATATTTTTAAAGATGATTGGAAAAGTTTTTAAAACTAGTTAACAATTTACTTTAATGAGAAGATTAGTTTACGAAACTTCTAAGGATTCACATGATTATTATTCAGCTGAAAATATTTTCAGTAACTCTTCTTCCACAGTATCGATGGAAGTAATGAAAAATATGTTTGCAAAAATATGAAATCAAATAAATTTCTACTGTTTACTCAAAAAAGAATTTATTTTGATCGACGTAAACCCCATATTAGCAGACAGCTTTTGGTCGAAAGTCCATCAAATACATATATCTATTGGATCCTTTATTTATAAAGTTTTTTCCAGCATATATTATATAAAGAAAATGAATGAGATTATAATGAAAAAATAAAAAATAGATGATAGAACTAAAAATAGTTCTGATCATCCTACAATACTTATTAAGATGATTCTGCTGACTGGAAGATTTTATAAGGAAAATAAATTCACCCAATTAAATTGAGTTTCTTTTGTAATTATAACAATTTGGAAATGAAATTGTTATCTAAATATATTATAATTAAAAATTTGTTCAGATATTATAAATACAATTTTATATACAATTTGTGTCTTGCTTAATAACGAAATATGTCACGCTACATTGGAATGCAACCTTCCGGGCTACAGTAGACATTGCAGACCCAGGGTAACATGAAGGCGCACTATCTTTAACACAGGCAAATCGAACTACGATACATAGTTTTAAAGAAACAGAATTTGAGATTTTCTATAAACAATCTATGTTCCTAATGGAATAACTTCTACTACTTTTTAAATCTCTGAAAAGTCTCTTTAAGATTCTAAATAAAATTCTTTCCATATAATGAAGAATACTCCATTTCATAAGCACGCACTTAACAAATAATTTAGTGCTTAATAATTTTAGTTGTTTTAAGTTGCTTGATATATCATTATCATCATTATAAATTTAAGATATATTTAGAACTTATGTGTGTTTCACAACAACCTTCCATTTTTCTCTATTTTTGGTTTCTGCTCCTTCTAGTTGTTGATACTAATCTCTCTGATTAGTATGATTCTAGTCACC